TCCAAAGTAAAAACTAAGTATATAAAACACTTATTTAATGTATTTTGATGTCAAAACAAGCTTTGTAAGTTGAAAACCACGTCGTTAAGGTAAAAACCACGGTTGACCAAGTCAACACCGTACACGGGTGGTTTTCACCAAAAGACAAAACCGAAAGGTGGTTTTCATGATGTTTTGATTGGAGAACCATTTAAATACATTCAAAAACAAATCCCACACAAAAAGACTCGAAAACCACTTCTTTTAAGTAAAAATCGCGGCTAGCCAAGTTAATGCCGTTTCACATGGTTTTTATCAAACGACAAAAAACGAAAGGTGGTTTTTGAAGTGTTTTTGATGAAAAACTATTTAAATGTGCCCAGAAGTAAAAACCAGTCATAAAAAGTTGAAAACCATTTGGTTAGTTCGGACGCCAAAAACCAACGCCGAAAACCGAATGCCGAATGCTGGTTTCTGAAACCCGAACGCCAGATGGATTGGTTTTTGGTTTGGGCGAACACCAAGTGTTTTTAATGTTTTATACATCTTTGAAAAATATTTTTATGATGTGTGAAATGCATTGAAAAGAATTTTAGCCTAAAGAGCCAAGGTGTAAAGACCACAATAAAGACCGACTCAACGATGCTAAGACTAAGGTCTTCGTTCTTGGTCTTCGTTTGGCTCTTGCTCTTATCTTCGTTCTTCGCCTTGTATATTCAATGTTTGACTTGATCACGGCGGTTTGGCATTATCAAAACCTGTCATAAAAACGAACACGGCTTTAGTACGAAAACACGATAAACCCGTGTTTCAACAAAAATAAGCAAAGCGGATAAAGTTTTATCTTATAAATAATGTCCCAGTAATTCATTTAGCAATTACTTCTAAAATTACCACATCATCTTCCGCACTTATGATCTCCAAGTTGTAAGTTCATGGGGCGCAGCGGATAACACCAAACACAAGCTATGCAAACAAAACAATCAAATATGTTGTAGAGAATATGCTGCAGCACTGTCACAGTAAAAGATGACTGACAGAGTGATGTAACACCTTCTTTGTCACAAGCACACACCTAAAATATGAAGTAAAAACAGTAAGCAAGACATCAGAATTGTTCACACAGTTCGAAGCAAATTCTCCCATGTCTGCAAGGCCCACGTCCGTGTAATAACCCTTCCACTAAATCACCGTAAGAATTACACAATCAATCACAACTGAACCTTCTAATGTATTGATTTGTCTACTTACGAATGACTTGATGACAAAATCGGTTTGCGTCTATCTCCACGGCTTGTTACACCTTCTCAAAGATCTTCTTCAAGGATGTAGATTCCAATACACCTTCAAATAAAGATTCTCCTTGATCTACAAAAATATGCAGGCTGTTCAGAAGTTCATAACTCGAGATTGAACCGTTGAAATTCGATCTCCACCGCTCATATTGACGATTCACGAGTCCCTAGACTCCTCCTAAAATTTCAGCACGATCGGACAAGATTTGATACTCCAAACATCGAGAAAACCAGGGCTGCGTTTTCTGCGAAAAATCAGCAACAATGTGTAGATTGTAACTTCAATAACAGAAGCTCCGTAATTCCGATTGACGTGAAATTTGAACACGTTGAAGCCCTATGTGTTGGGAAGACTCTCTGGAAATTTAAGCAAAATCTAACAGTCGGATCTCCGGAGATGATCAAATCTGTGCGAGCTGTCCAGAAAATTTACAGTTTCTAAATCTGCACCTTGTTTTTCTTTTGATCGGATTTGCTTCAGGTTTTTCTTAGGGGGGTGTATTCAACTTAGATTTTAAAAGATTACGTTATATTTTTTATAATCCATGGATTGTCTTAATTCTACGTAGACTTCAAAAGATTTCAATTTATTTTCTTGTAAGGATTTATGAAGATTCTAATAGATTGTTTTTAACCCAAATTGGTTAAAAAAGGAAAAAAAATAAAAAAGGAGACGACAGGCTCTGGTTTGCCGTCACAGAGCCGACCCCCAAACCGCCTCCTCCCATCCCGTCGCAGATGATGGAGAGGAGCCCTGTCAACAGAATGGTTGGTCAAAGATGGAAAAGATAAGAAAGGCAAAGGTCTTGCCACTGCACTGATCCAAGGTGGTTGCACTGAAAGAAAAGCAAGGCAAAGATAAGAAAAGCAAGGCAAAGGTCTTGCCACTGCACAGATCGAAGGTGGTTGCAAGGTTAAGAAGATAAGCAAGGCAGAGGTGGTTGCACTGAAAGAAAAGCAAGGCGAAGATAAAAAAAAGTCTGCATCATAAATTCCATGGTGTTGCCACTGCACAGATCGAAGAAGCGAAGATAAAGTCGTGAAATTTGTAGTAATCGGAAGAAGAGGATCGGAAGAGTCTACAAAATCACAGGGATGTTGGTAGGATTTGGTATCCAGATTTGTATTTATACCTAAGGCATGGAAATCCATCAAAATCCACATTATTAAAATTTTTTAAAATTCTATCAATTTTTGAATACCATCATATTTAGAAGGATTTGTAAAAATCTAAATTGAATACACCCAAATTTTAAATGACTTTTTCAAATCTGAATTGAATACATATAGACTTTCGAAATACAAAAAAATCCATCAAAATCCTGATTGAATACACCCCCCTTAGTTTTTCACGTCCAAAACCCTAAGGGAGGGTGAAGATAATATATAGAGCATATTAACCTTGTTAGAGTGTGCTTAGAAGTCTCAACCATGCTTTCCTACTCAAGAATAATAAACCAAGTAGGATTAGACTTCTTTCTTCAAGCTCTTTCCTCTTTCTCTTTCTTCACATGCTAGAACTCTATGAGTCTAAATAAAATATCTAAAATAATTCTAGGTAAATCTATTCGTTTGTCAAAAAATAATGCCAACACAATATGAAACTAACACAAGTTTCACTACACAAAAAAACCATGGACATTTCCTATACTATAGTTATAAGTTTTCGTGACGTGACAAACAGCTTTGTCATGGGCATTTTCTGTGGAAAACACAAAAAA